GACGTATGGACCAAGAATTAAACCTCATACTTTCCAAATAAAAACGAGCGTTATTGTAGCCATCATAAAATTGCGTGCTTCGAGGTCTTGGCAAAATTATACAATATCGCAATATGAAAAACAGAGCCCAGGTGAGGAAGACGGCTCAGAAGCAGCACTGTAGCAAAGCTAATGACACTGTACTAGTGATTTAGAGCCACGCAGTAAGTATGGTGGTCCTGTGGCCTTGAAGCGTGCAATTTTCTGACGACCACTTGTCACAAATGTGTGGGTAAAACAGTTTGGTCAATAATCTGATAATTATTCGGTCTGAAGGAAATGAATATGAAAGCATTTATTTCAGATGCTGGGCCAACTGGAAAATTATTTCCAACGTGAGGAAATCCCGTTCTTCTGGGATAAACGCAGTAATCTCATTAAACATTTGAAAAAAGATGAAATAAAAAACATGCGTGGTCGAGTGACACATCTAAGAAAGATGGTGGAACGGGCCCTATCGTCACCTGGTCAGGACCTTTCGTCTGTTGTGAATGAACTTTTTGTGATGTAAGTCTTGCCTGCTTTATATTTTGATTTGCTGCATTGAGTGTTTTCATCATCCCACTCTAAAGGACTTTGGTGTTAATTCAAGATTCCCTTTTTGAATATAACATACCGTTTGCTTTCCTTCACCTGGTTTAAAAGAGTTAGAGATATCAGTTTTATTGCATGAAGTTGAGTCACTAAACATTTGTAGTACAATGTGTTGTAGCGCACCAAGACGAGAGGAGACAAACAATCAGGCAATAGATCCACAGCAGGCTGAAGGTACGGACTGGAATGCATTAGTGGAGAACGTGTCTTTAGGTGTGGCTTTCGTTTCAGTCGGTGTAATGATTGCGCGAAGGCTGTACCAGAACTAAAACAATGATTAGTAAGTGCATAGCTTAAAACTGTTACTTGCACTTAAGTAGTTTGGTTACTTTTCCCACCAGTGAAAGTATTTCCATTTGCCAAGAATCTAACCGTATAGCTGATCAAAAATCGTGATGGTGAGGTCCTGGGTTTGATCTGTAGCATGTGGGATATAGTTTTCGCTCAAAAATATGAGTATGAATAAGTTGCAGTAGTTCACAAATTTAAGTTTTCATAGAAAATTTATTGAAGTTCTTACAAACTCCCTGGTAGCAGAACCCGCAGGCGCAACACCGACGACACCAAAGCCCACAACTCGACCAGAATCTGAGCCAACTCCATTTGCCATCCTCGCAGCCCACCTCCCTAAGAGCAAACTTGATATCCTCCCATCTCATTTTTGGTCTGCTCAGTAGTCGTTTTCAAGAAGGATTCCCCACAAAACTGTATGCACCCCCTTTCGTGCTACATGTCTAGCCCATTGAAACCACCTGAATTTCAGTATCATTATGCTAGGTGACCTGTACAATTCATGCAGCTCGTCGTTATCGAAGATTCTACATTCCTGAGGATTTGCCATATCCTGGTGACACGGACCCATCTAAGATGGTGAACTTTTTCACAGAATATGTATATCTGTAAGCTGGTACACATGGTATGAGTGAAATGATTAACTGTGACCTTGTAACTCAATGTATCCGGTGGTAACAAGTAGTATACTGAGTCTGAAAGAAAAATGGAATATCTTGAATTTACCATCTATATTCACCTATAATAAATAGTTTTTGAGTTCAGTAGTGTTAAACATTTTTTAATTATATGTACGAACTTTGTATCATGAATAAAAATGAAATACTTAGGATTAGAGGTAAATATAAATATTATGCATATGTTCTAATGAAATTCCTGCTTTTCATGGAGCCCAAAGTTGCATTACCATGTTAACAAGAATCTGCCTCATGTCTCTATTTGACCCAGATCGTTTCAGTCAGCAACTCAACACCTCTTTCTTTAAGATCCATTTTAGTATCATCCTCACATCAGTGCTTGGGTGTGACAGGTGGTCTCTTCGCTTCAGATCTTCGGACTAGTAGTTTTTATGCGTTTCTCACCTCGTCATTAACTAGGGAAGAACAAGAAGTTTGATTCCAGACTAAGCACCAATGACAACTCAAATACCACATTTTATAAAAATTTGTGCAGCCGTTCTCGAACTGTTACGTGCGTACAGACTGATATGTCATTACTTTGATAAGGTTGATGTCTTCAAGTGTGCGCAGGGTATCATAGTTAATGGTGCCCATAGCCTCGCAACTTCATGTATCCGTCAAGTTGGTACTTTAGATTATAGGAAAGGGAACAGTGCTAATTGATTCTGGGCTACAGCAATGTAATCTTCATACTGAATTTCATGAAAATATGTTTCCGACTTAATGTATGCCTGAAACGGTAATGTGCAAGTCCGCCGATACATGACAGCATGATGTCATGGGCTGAAATGTGATAGACAGGTATGGACACGCCTGTAAGACATTCTTTGCTCACGCTGAAGCGTAAAGAAAATACAACGCTGTTATAGCATTGCTGACAGCTTCTGTTAAAAAATATGCATATTTAACATCTTCATTTTGTTAGCATCAGACTGATCGAAGGGAGAATTTTAATGAACTACTCTAGCGTCATAGGAACGTTGCTGAAATGGAAGAACGTTATACAAAATAGAAACAAATTTGTGATTTGTGTGCTTATTTAGTGAGATTTAATGTTCTCATGGCAGCGAGTATGAAGATGGCCATCGTCTGGGTTGTCGCGCCTTGATAGTGAAGGCAGTGAGATGATCTGAACCTCTAGATAATTTCACGAGGAATAACTGTAACTAGGCTTGTACAATTGGTGTTGTCGATGGAAATGTGGAGTTCTTGAGGTGGTGGACTGAGTAGGCAGCGGCACAGGTCCACGTGCATGAACTTGTATGTATCGGAATTGACTTATCGCCTTATATTGTTGCCATAGTTTGCCCTATAAAATGCACTTTTACTTGAGACCGACGACAATGAAGAGGAACTGAGAAAGTTTTCGATAAAGACTAGTGGAGAATAAATGACAGTTTTAAATGCTTCCACAAAATGGTGTTACTGACTGTAGATTGTGTACTGCTCAGTAACTTATCACTATTCAGAAATGTCATTTATGCAGTTATTACCCACGTTAGGATTTACAGCTGGAAAACGGAAGACTTTCCACAGTCTCTACAGGCATATGTTGGTTTGGAACCTTAAGTTAGGCCACGACCACTTCTTCCACATCCATTCCACTTCATTATTCACCATCGCCCTCTCATTTGACGCTTTATAGTCTGAATTACTGAAAAATCGTCGTTAAATAAACTTTAAAAATGTGGATGTATAACATGGGCTGCCATGACTATTGGAAATGGAAAAAGGAGTGAGGTCTTGGCCCTTGAAATATGGTTAGGAATAGCATGGGTATAATATTTATATATTCTTGCACTGAATTACATGAGTTAGGTGGCTTACAAAATTGGTATTTTATTCATATGTCTGTTTTACATAACAAGGCAGTATTTTTATATACTGTAATTTTTTGTGTCATTGCATGTTTGTTAATGATTATAACATTTTGAGTTAATGATTCGGAATTTCGTCTTTAAATATTACGTTTTTTAGTGTATTGAGTGTGTTTATACTGGTAATCACTTCTTGGTTGTTGCTATGGAAACTCAAGCCTTTAAAATCAACAAGCATCATTGAC